GGTGTGGGTGTGGGTGTGGGTGTGGGGTGTGGGGTGTGGGTGTGGGTGTGGGGTGTGAGTGTGAGTGTGATGGGTGTGGCTATTAAGAGGGCACACCCACACCCACCCACACTCTCATCCTCAAGTCATGCAATGTATGTTTCATAGAATAGTTTTGGATGCGTTCGAATTTCTAGCAAAATATGTTCCCTTCTAAGAAAAACTTCTTTTTGCGGTGATGCATCCTATGTTGATCATGTTCTATAATTGTGGAAATGCGTGCTATGAGGAAAAACAATTGAATTTTCAAGATCTTCTCATGTGACGAGAAAAATGAATCTAAAGATTTGTTTTTCACTTCGCGAACAAATAATGACAATATGTTTTTCATAAGTCTCTCACTCTGCCAGATGGAGTCAGACAAATAAACTTGAAATATTTTGTTTCTTTTCTTCCAGTTTGTTTCTCCTTTCGTTCGATTCTCCACATTTTTGATTACAATGTGACATAGACAATAAACAAACTGCGTCGTGTACACCTTCAGTTCTGTCAACTGCAACATTGACTGATTCTCTTTTTTGGACTGGGTATTTATACACCTTTTCATTTGTTATAGACAGATCAGCACACTTCATACTTTTAAACTAATAAATCATGGCACCTTGGCTACTGTGATATTTCGTGTACTGTACGAAGAAATAGGAAGCTTTTGAAAATATTGAAGTTCAAAAGTAATTATCATGGCAGGTATGAATGCATCGGAGAACTTATTACAATGTCCAATAACAATGGAATTATTTCGTGATCCAGTCTTGACACCAGATGGTCATACCTATGAGAGACAAGCGATCGAACAATGGATTCAAAGTCATGGAACAAGTCCGATGACGCGACAGCCATTGTCCACTGAACAGCTGTATCCGAATCGTACTGTGAAAGAACTTGTTGACGGTTTTGAGACATTCTTGCGCCAAAAAAATTACCAGTTTATATTAGATGTCGATGTGAAAAAAAAGAAAGGACGACCACTATTTCAGACAGTCGGGAAAACAATTTATGATGCTGAATGGTTACCAAATAATAATAATCGACCAGAAATAATATTATTAAAAATTGATGGTGCTCGGGCAAAAAAAGAAGCATCTTTCTACGTAGATTTAAGTCGTCATCCGCATATCATTCGAACATTTGGTTTTGTATATGACAGAAACAATCCCGACCAAGATAATTCAGTCCTGCTTTTACAAGAATATGCACCCGAAGGAAGCTTTTATGAAGTATTACAGGAACGAAGGACGGCTCCTGATGAACCAATTCTCATTGAAATATTTTTACAGATTATTGAGGCAATGATATGCCTGGCATATAATTATGTCATTCATGGTGATTTAGCGGCTCGTAATGTCCTGGTATTTCGTTTTGATGAAAATCAACCAGAAAGGAATGTTGTGAAAATCACCGACTTTGGTCTTAGTAGACATAGTCAACTGTATTCAAGGATACCAGGTGCTGCAAGAACAACATTGAACATAGTTCCTATTCGGTATGCGGCACCAGAAGTACTTTCATCGAATGCAACATCGGAAGTGTACACTGAAAAATCAGATGTTTATTCAATGGGTGTGTTAATGTGGGAAGCATATTCTCGAGGTTTATTGCCATGGGCGAACATCGAACGCGATGATGATGTCATTCGACGAGTCAGAAATGGCGATTTACTACCTCAACCATCCAATTGTAGTCAACCTTTTTGGTCGATCATCACAAGAACCTGGTCCCGATCACCAAGTGATCGCCCAACATTCACTGAATTGAAAAATCTTCTAAGCAAACAATACTATCGTTCAAGTAATTGTTGATGTTTATCCTAAACTATGTTTCTGAATGGTTTATCACGTGATAATTGTTCCTTAATTCGTCCAAATTCTAATTTATCTTTTGATACTAGTATCTGAATAACTCAAGCAAGAGCCGATAGCATTCAATATGAGCATAAATATAAATAACACTTTTGATAGCAACTGCAGCGAAACTATATAGAGATAAATTTTCTAGAGTTCAAATACGCAAAATTTCGAAGACACAAAATAAGAAGTATAACTTGAGATGAATGGAATGGTTCACACAAACATATTCAGTTGTCAAATCCAGCTAGAGTAGTTCCTCATAATAAATTATTTTTAGCAATTGTTCAGGCGTGGGGTGTGGGTGTGGGTGTGGGTGTGGGTGTGGGTGTGGGTGTGG